GCTTACTCCCCTTGGCCTTCTCCAGGCCCACCAGTTCCCAGTTCTGACTGGCACACCTTTGCCTTCTCCAGGCCCATCTATAAATAAAAAATACAATATCATTAAAATACATTATTTAAAATACAATATCTATTTCTTATCTATTTATATTTTATATTTAACTATTTTTTCTGTTTAAAAATTCCATCCAGAGGGGCTTGTGCCCTCTCAGGTTTGGCCTTGTCCAGTGCCTTCTGCAGGCTTTGCTTCAGTGCCTTCTGCAGGCTTTGCTTCAGTGCCTTCTGCAGGCATGTGCTCATCTGGGCTGAAATCTGGCATTTCCACATCTTCCCCTGGTGGTGGAGGTGGCTCTGCCTCAGCAATCAAAGTACCTTCTGGAGGCATTGAGCTGCCTTCTTCAGGCAAGGTTTGGGGATCAGCTTCTTTTTTCACATTCTTCTCACCACTGCCTCCTCCAGGCTCTTCTAGAGGCTTATTGCCTTGGCCTTGGTCATCGTCCTCTTTCTTCAGCTTCTTCTTGTTGCTCCACACCCTTTGGCCTTTTCCAGGCTTCTTCTCAGCATCCATTGTCTCCTCCTCAGCATCCATTGCACAGCCTTCTGCAGGCTCTCCCCTCCTGACCCAAGGCCTTGGCCCATGAGCCTTTGAAGGCTCTGAAGGAGGTATTCCAGGCCTCCTAGGAGACCCAGGCCTGGCTTTAGGGCTTCTAGGTTTGGGTCTACTTTTGGACCTTCGCTTTTTCACATAGCCATCTCCTGGCTGCCAACACCTCCTGGCCTCCTCTTGCATGGCCTTGGCCTTGTTGATGAGCTCCCTCATCTGCCTTTTTTGTTCAGCAAGGAGCTTCAAAGGTGGCTGGGGCTGAAGCCACTGAGGGACAGGCAGGCCTTCTCTTTCAAGGGCCCTTTTTTGCAACCTTCTCAGGTCACTTTGCCTGCCCCTGGTGTTGTACCTGTCCCAGCCATCTACTGGCTCATCATCTCTTTGCCATTCAGCCCAGTCTTCCCAAGCTTGGGGGTTGAAGGGCACCTCTTCCCAGCCTTCTTCAGGCTTTTTGTTCTTTCCCCACCAAGTCATCCATGGGCCTTCCCCAGGCTTGTTTTGCTCCCACCAATCCCAGTCACCATCAGTGCTTGAGCCTTCTGCAGGCTGAGACCACTCAGTCCACCCCACAGTTTGTGGTGGCTGTGGGGCCCAGCTTGGGCCAGTGTCTTCTGAATCACTCCACACCCAAATGGATGTGGCCAAGCCTTCTTCAGGCTCTTGGCTGTGGTCCACCATCCCTGGTGGCCACCACCTATTTCCACTCCACTCAGGAACCCCTGGTGGGACATAATCATCTTCTCCAAAGATGTATTGCCCCATGGCAGGGTCTTTCTCCATAGCCTTCTGCAGGCTTTTGACTTCATTGGTGGTCAGCTCCTCCCACCCCTGGCCATTCAGGTAGAAGTAGAAGAACCTGCCACCCCAGAACCTGATCCTCCACCAGTTCAGTTCATACCATGTGCCTTCTCCAGGCAGAAGCAGCAACCACAGCAACAGCAAAGCCTTCTTCAGGCTCAGGGGCCCCACCACCACCACCACCATGGCTCTCACAGCAACTCTACAGCTGGTGGGTGTTGGTTGTGTTTGTTGGTGTTTGTGTTTGTGAGTGCTGCCTGTATGTTGTAAGCTCCAGTTGTGTGAGTGTTTGGTGTTTAGTTGTGGTCCTTGCAGTTGTGAGTGCAGTGTGGTTTAGTTAGTACTCCAATTAGTTAAGTGTGTGTCAGTGTGTGTGAGTGTGTAGTGGCATGTGCATGCATGTTTGCTTTGCTCTGCCTAGCTTGAGCAAAAACACAACATTACAACCTTCTTCATGTAAAAACCAAACACCAAACACCACCAAACCAAGAAACAAACCTCATGCACACCTCAACCCCCAAACCACAACCTTCTACAGGCTAACCCACCCACCAAAACACTCTTGGCAGCCTTTTCCACACCCTGCAAAAAAGAAGCCTTTTTAGGCTCAAGGTCGGCCTATAGCCTTCTTCAGGCTCAAGGTTGCCAGCCCAAAGGCCTTCTTCAGGCTCAAGGCTAGTCCACATTTTCTGCAGGCTTCAGCATAGCTTTTTTGAAATCAACCAAGGCTGCCTTCTCCAGGCTTGCTTCATTGCATGCCTTGTCCCACAGCTTGTCCATCACTTTGGTTTGGAGAGGTCCTCTAACCACCTCCACATTGACCAAGCAATAAACTTTTTTGCCTTCTTCAGGCATTGCCTGGATGTAGGCCTTCTGCATGGCCCTGGTCTGCTTCACCCACCCAAAGGAGACAGACTTGGCCCAGGATTTGCCAAGCTTTGCCTTTGCAATGCCTTCTGCAGGCTCTGTGTCTTTTGCTTTGCCTTCTGCAGGCTTGGCTGCAGGCTTCTTTAAGATGACTGGCTCTTGGGCTGCAGGTTTCTTCAAGATGTCTGGCTCTTTGGCTGCAGGCTTCTGTTTCACTTCCAGCCTTCTACAGGCTGCAATCAGCTCCTCAGGCCTCACCATGGATGAACTTTGGGTTCCTGCAACAGAACTTTCCACACCCCAAACTTCTGTGGGCTGAGGCTCCTCTTCTTCTGCAGGCTCTGCTATGATGAGCTTTGGTCTCTTGCCCTTGCCTTCTTCAGGCACCATTTTCTGCTTCAAGCTCTTGTTGGCTTGGCCTTCTTCAGACTTTTTTTTCTTCATGGACACATCCACAATAGCCAGTAGCCTCTGGATGTGGGGTGGTGTCTTCCCACCAGTCTTGAGGTTCCTTTTCTTTTCTTCAGGTAGCTGACCACTTCATGGAATGCAGTGGCCAGCAACTTGCATTCAGAGATGGTCAAGGACCCTTTTGCTAGCTTCACAGCTTGCCTTAATTCAGGCTTGTTCAGGCTTGGCCTCCTCAAAAACATCACTAGGAAGTGTTCATGCCTCTTGCAGGCATCTTCATGGTCGCTAGGCCATTCTGCAGGCTTCAATGCATCTGGAAAACTTTTCAAAACTGTTGCAAACTCTGCAATGCCTTCTTCAGGCTGTAAAGGCAGAGGTGCAGCCATGCTCCCTATAGCTTTGCTCAGCTGTATCTCCCTGTGTACTGTGTGCATGTGTTCATGTGCTGTTTTTTGGGGTCATGCTTGCATTTTGCCATGCTGCTCATGCTCTGTGTTGTGCTCATGCTCTGTGTTCTTGAACCAAAAAGCTGAAAGTCTGGAAGCCTGTTTTTCAAGCTTCCAGAAGCAGCTTCTGGAAGCCACAAAGTTGGCTTCCAGAAGCTGCTTCTGGAATACTCAACATCAACACAATTCAAACTTTCCAAGAAGCGCTTCTCAGGCAAGAAGCTTGATTTTTTGGCTGGCAGCCCTTTTTAGGAAGTATGGTTTTGAGGCTGGCAGCTTTGTTTCAGAGCTGTCAGCCAAAAAAACAAGCTTCCAGAATGCACTTCTTGAGGCAAGAAGCCAAAAAAATTGCTGCCAGCCTTGTTTCTTGACTTCTCGGAGCTTTAGGGCCATCTTCTCTCTCTCAGCTCAGCCACTTCTTGCTCGAGTCGCGAAGCCCGCAACTCATGAGCATTGAGTGGCATCATCACCCTCCCTTCTCTCAAGCTGAGGGGCAACCATTGTTGATCACCATGACGGCGTCGATGAGCATCTAAAAGCTCATAGCCCTGCAGGTCACTAATTTCAGCCGAGGTGCAAGACGTTGGGAACGGTGGCATAGGCACTTCCATGCTAGTCGCTGCTCTCGGTGGGGAACCAGGAGGAATCTGCGTTCCATTTGGGGTGAACCGAACATCACCTTGCTCTTGATGGCCACGTCGTGACTGGCTTCGACCCCGTGGAGTGTGTGGTGGTTTCACTCCTACTCCAGTGCTGGTTCCAGGAAGATCACCGCCACATACCTTAACATGTTGACCAGGTACATGACCTTCAGCATGACCCACATGGGTTCCCTTCTTTTCCAAGCCCACCTGCTCCCACGAAGACGGCGTGGAAGACACACCATCCGAGGCCCGCAGACGGCGAAGCTCAGCAACCTCCGCCATCAACACTGCGTTTTGCTCCTTGAGGAAGGTGACCATCTCCGCTTCGAGGGCTCTTTGTAGACCATCATGGTGCTCTTTTGCTCTTCTCTCCCCCTGATCCTTCGAGACCTCAGACCCGGGGTTCTCAGGTGTTGGAGGCATGGGCCCCATGGTACGAGCAGGCTGTCGACCCTTGGCTTCACGAACCATCTCCGGCATAGCGCCGTGAGTCCGCTTCCCACCACCCCGACCACGATCTTCTTCCTCCTCCCTGCGGCTTGGGGTGTGACAAACAGTCCATTGCCTCCACCTTCAAGGGCCGAAACACCTCGTCCCTTCCCACAGCCACCGACGCGGTCACCTTGCGTCTCCAGCAGGTCGGAGTCATCTCCATCGTGAGGCACAGGGAGGTCCTCAGGTCGTGCATACCTCAGGAGCGCCTCCCGCTTGCAGCGGTCCGACCACCATGGGTTCAAAGGTGGCATGGAGTGGGACCGCTCAACCATGGCGTGTCACTTGGGCTCATAACCCTCGTGAACAAAGACAACGCGCCCTTTCTTCGAACACAAATGCCTGAAGTCGTGACATGTCCGATGTTCTCACCGAACAGAACAAGAATTCAAGAAGACGGAGAAGTGGTGGCCAGTGGTGGCGGGCAGTTTTTGTGGGTGTGGCAATTCAATTGGGCTAAAAGACCGTTTCAAGACTGATGCTAAAAGCAGGTTGGAAATCATCCGGACACTCACACAGCGAAAGAGGTACAAATCACTGAGCCACTTCTGTTTCGCCCATGGGCGCCCAGTGGAAGACAGTTCCACGTGTCATGTTCATCTCTATCTACATCCTCACAGCTCAGCTCTATAGCTCTACCTCCGCACTACAGCTCTATAGCTCTACATCTGCACTACAGCTCTCTGCTTCATGTTCATGTTCATGTTCATCTACAGCTCCCAGTCCCAACATCTGCACTTCAGTGAACCCAGCTGCTCTCCGCGGATTGGTAGAGTCGCCACAGCGTATCGGAGATAAACGCCTGGCCGCGCTCGGTCCACCCCCGTCGTCTGGAGAAATCCGCAGAATCCGTCGATGGATTGAAGGGAACATCGAATCGTGCAGATGAACGGTGTTCAGCCCGTTCTGGACGGTGTCCAGTTACATCTTCCGGTTCCGGTTCGTCCTGCGGTGTCCACCGGGTTCCTGGGGGCACGGTGAATCGGAGAATCGGGGGCCCCGCGGTGACATCCGGTGGAGCGGTTCGAACGTGGCACTGCATCCACGGACCGAACGTGGGTGATGGAGTGATGGATGGAATCACCCTATAGTTCTCCGGTTGAAGGAATAGAAACGATTGAAATTGAGAACAGTGGATTTCAATTTCACTGTTCTCAATTTCAATGGGCGTTGCCAAAATAGAGAGAATTCTTCATGGCTTATCTTCTACTTGACACAGCTCCCCTTTACCCCAGCTTGATTCCATGTTTCATGTTCGAACCCAGCTTTCCAAGTGAATCACTGCGTTTCTTAAAGATTTGAGTCCTTGCGGAGGAGTCAAGAAATCCTGCATTCAAGTCCTTGCGGAGCCGAGTCGACTCTTAGAACACCGAGTCGACTTGACAGAATTCGAGCATATGCTATGCTCCGATCTCGGGGAAGCCATGTTTCATCATATTTCATTGCTTCGCCTTTCAGTTGCCTTCTTGGACTTTTCTTGAGCTTCTCATGTACATATATATATATATACACCTTCTGAGATTCATGTTTCCACCTGCACTGAGATCGTCTAGACGAAGTGATGCTCCGATGCTTCCGAACGGACCAGCGAAGCCGCTTCGCCGCTGTCGCCCACCTTGGCGAAGCGTTCGCGTCGCTCCTGTGGCGGTCGGTGACCGGTCAGTTGTCGCCACGAAGGCAAAGCATAGGCATAGGCCAAGCATAAGGCAAAGTCGAGAAGGACTTTTGAAGTGTCTTACATGGAACTAAAATAGGATATGCTATTTCATGATTTCCTGCTATTTCAGGATGGAGACATGAAACGGTCCGCGGTTGAAGCACACAAGCGCACCCCATCGGGGGTGGGTTGATCAAGAGGCAGAACCAACTGAGCCTTGGGGCTGAGACCTTACGAGGTTCGACATCTGGTCGAGAATGGTCGATGTCGACTCGGCCCCTGAAACGGAACCGTTCGGCCCCGTGGGTCTACATCATTGAAGGCTAAATGGAGGGTGTGTGGAGAAAGGGGGTCAGCAAAAATCGCTTATAGTGCATCAAAAATACCTTCCACGAAGTTCTGCGAAGGTTTCTGGAATTTCGTTGCAGTCAGTTCTCCTACTGGCCCACCATTCCACGAACTGTCCACGAATAGCCTTGGGTTCTACGAATGTCCCACGCCTTCCACGATGTTAGTAGAATAGGTGTTTGCAAAAACCTTTCTGGGCACTACCCTTCCGTTTGCCTCTGAATCATGCTTCCAACCGATCGTCTGAGAGAGGGGTATAGCCAGTATGGGCCAATTCGGTCTATCGATCCAACCGCTTCAACCCGCCACGAAACGTTGGTCCATCCGAGCGGCGCTGACGAGTCAGTCGAAAGGGGTGGCGATCCGAGTCCCTGTCACCTCCACCACCGCACCGACGGGACGAGCGACGTGACGAGGTTGGAAGGTGTGTTTCGGGCCAGGACGTCCCGCACATCTCACTTCAAAAAGCTGCCCAGGAGCCCAGTATCTGACCTGGGTAGCCTGGGTAGACACCACTCACGACTCTCTCGAGTCCTCAAGGAAGGAAATCGAGGGGCCCAATCCATGGGATACATCCGAAATCCATCGAAATCCTGAGATACCCAGATGGTCCGGTTTGGCACTCCAACGAACACATGGAAGTGGATGGAACCACTCTGCTTGCCAAAAGGCCATGTTCCACTTCCATCCACTTCCATGATAGTTGGAGGGAGGCTAAGACAACCTTCTTCTTCCAACCAAAAAGAACGGCCAGAACATGTCCATCGGCGTCCCTTAGTGCCCACACCGCGGCTGTTCGGTCATCTGGAGGATCATCCGCCTTGGAATGGCCCGAACGTCTGAACGTGCTGAATCAAGACCATGTCCTTAAAACACATTCTCACCCACCTCATCTCCACTCCTTGGTAAGCTCAAGGTTCAGCGGAAAGAATGCAGAACCAATGCCCTATCTTTCTTAAAGAGATTCTCTCTACAGAATGATCTTTCAACAATCAAATTGGACATAACTTAATTAACATAAGACTTAAGACATACCATTTGCTTCAAGATGTTCAATCGGGAACCTCCATGCTACGTGCATTCCTTCGTGCTTCATCGTCCAATTCTCCCTCCCTTCAGCGTTTTCGAACCATGGAGTGGGGTCGACAGGTTGGCTGCTCCCTGGCTGGTCGGCTGCTCCAGCCGCCCTGTTCCGCCCTGTTCCGCCTCGGCAGATCCGCAGATCCGCACCCGTTGGTTTCAGCGCCGACCCGAAGTGGGGGTCCTCGCCACGTCGGTTTCTTTCCGCAGATCGCTCAGCGCCTTGGCCGTGGAGCGGCAGGGGAGACGTGAAGACATGCTGTCACACCCAGAGTCACATCCAGACAGTCCATAGCAGAATGATACAGATACATGAGAAGTACATGAGAAAGCCTTCCAACCATGTAGCTAAATATTTGACTGGAGTGTCTGGAGTAGTTGGAACTCTTGAAGCTAGAAGCACTGCGAAGAAGTTGATTCTCCCGGTTCCGGATGGTGCAGGATGACCACATCTTGCGGACGTTGGATCCAAAGAGTTGTCAACCTGAGTGTATTCACCTACCCCAAATCTGGACCCCCAACCCCCGACTAAAACAGCATCTCATTCTGAGGACAGAAAACACATGAAAGCACCGTTCTTGCTGTGGATGAAAACCGTGTTTCTCCTTTGGAGCAAAACACGGTGATTGTCTTTTGTTCGATCGCTCGAAAAAGTGCTCCACCGGGCCGAGACCCGGGCCGAGACCCAGGTTCGCTTCATGAAGTTGAAGATCTTCTTGCACAACTGGCGACGAGGTGTCGGAGCGTTTGGACAAACAGAGCTCCGAGACAAACAGAGGAAAAGGCGAGGACACAGAAGCCCTTATAGGGCAGACGAAGTTCGAAGGCTTATATAAGGGAAGGCTTTTTTGGGTGGATCAACATGTGACAAATGATTCTTGGCTGCATTTGCTTGTAGAAGGACATGACCTATAGATTAAAGATCAAACATATGCATCAATAGGCCAAGATCTTTGGTTTGAAGAAGACCAACCCCTCCCGAAACACCGGACGCAAAGACCAACCCCCCCGCGCGCGCCCGGTTCAGCACCTCCTCCGGCAGCTTCAGGCAGCACTGGAAAGGCGACCCGGCGGAGAGCGCCGCCGAGACGACGGACGTGGTTCACGCCGGTTTTGGGGAAGCCACAACTGCAGACCGGTGAGCCCCAACAGATTAGGGACGGTTCCAAGGAATAACCATGTGAACCCCCCCCTCCTTGACAGAACCGAAGGGGTTGATATCTCCAATCTTTGGATATATTTGACAACCCAGGGACCCTAGGGGCAATCCTTGAAAAGAAACTCATGAGATGCAACCACCTTCCACATGGTATAGTGCAGTTGCACAAACCACTGCTTTGAGTGGTTTCTGGATATTGACAAAGGCAGCGTGGCCATTGCGGGTCCACCAACACACTGACCGACTGTGTCAACTTCCGGAGCATGTCGAGACAGTGAAATTGGTTCGAAAGGTGAGTATAGTAATAGTACATATATAGACATAAACATCATATATAGAATCTTAAATGATTATTAATGGCAGGACATGGAGAGTGTCACTTAACTTGGATGACCAACACCTTAATCATGTATCTTTGTAAAGTCAATGCATCGGCCAGGACCCTGAACTAAAATTGATTTGTGCAAAGAAAGTGCTGGTCTGACAAACAGCCACTACTAAGATCACTTCAGGCTACTACCATAATTATGCGAAAGTTGGTTCCAGGAGCGAAACATCGTCATCCCATCTCCTCTCACTTCACAACCCCTGAAGCGTGCCACCGTCCATGCATTCCCCGGAAAAGTCACGGTGTGACCGATCGGAGCGTGCCGGTTGGAAAAAGACAACTGTCCTCTCCCTTCCCAAAAAACTATGTTAAACCCGAAAATTGATGGTTGACCAAAGTTTAAAAGCTTCCAGCCAAAGCCAACGATTTTTGCAGGATGTCTCAGACATTCTACGGATCTACTACATTCTCATCCACATCTCCCAATCTGTTCGCTGAAGGAGCTCTCCCGCCGACCACTGGATGTATCGAAGCCCAGAACCAAAATCGGATTCGGCACCTTCGACGCCGCGACGTTTAGCGGATCGCCCAGCGGATCGCCACCGGCGCCTCCCACAGGACGTTCTCCACCTGACGATTCACCTCCTTCGCGAAGCGACTCGTGAGAGAGGTGAACCAAAGCGCTTCGAAGGGGTCGACGTGGACCGGAAGCCGGGTGGTTCTTGGGGAGGACACCCTTGGAGCAATGATGGGAGGAAGGGTCCAAAGAGGTCAAAAGGACCTCTTAGGACTTCCATTTTCGGAAGTGTCAAATCCCAAGACTGTTGGGTGGAATCTTATGGAGGAACCTCCTGGCCAGGTGTTTCCTGCACAAGTCCGGTGTCCAGGTTCACCACCTGCTTTGGGTGTCACGAGGGTCCCGGTAGTGGTTCTTTTGACTCGCGGATCCCGAATAGAAGCATTCTCAAGGTAGATGTCCCATTGTGACGAACGACGTTGTTGAGGTCCTACAGGGGCTTAATCAGTAATTACAGGTAATAGGTAATAATTACAGGTAAACCCTCAGGATTGTTTATCTCAACTAAACACTCAGGGGGTTCAAGCCTTTCTGGCAACAGAATTTCACACGTCTCTCAAGTTCAGGGGCCACTGTGAGAAAGCATGAATGGGTATTGAGTCACTTGCTAATTTGGAACATGTTGGAACTACATAGCTATATCTTCTGAACATAAGCTTATGCGGGAAAAGCTTGGGATACCAACAGGAGTTGACTCCAAGGATGTCTGTTAGAAAGTTAGGAGGTGATGGGTAAGGGAAGACGATAAAAGTTCCATCTGCATGCAATGCAACACGTGGCACCTATCAGTCAGGAAGTTCTCCTTCACGGATATGACGAGGACTTAGTGTGCACAATAATCTTATTCCATGCCCAGCGGATTGGTTGCTGACTTCAGGTGTTCGACCTTACTTTTCCCGGCACGGCCATCCAGTCCTTCTTCAGCATTGCAGTGGGTCTTCACGTGAAACACACCAGGCCCCTCCTCAAGCCAAAGCAAAACCACCGGGGGCCGGTCCGATTTTATCACACCGTCATCCCGTGACGGTCTCATCTCCGAACGAACAAACAAACATTCGAAATTGATCGAAATCGAGTGCTTCGGTCCAAACCAACGAGGTTGAAGAACCCGAACTAGGCTATCCCATAGGTACCCTGGTAGGGTCCTAGTTCAGGTCGCTTGACCTCTGTTGGAACGTTAGATACTCGAAGAGGCCCAAGGAGCACGAGACGCCTGTGCCGCCCAAGGGCGACACTCGCGAAGGGCGGGTAGGGACTTGGGCCGGAAGGACTTGGGCCTTTTCCTGTGGGACGGCGTCTTGGTTCAGGAGTCTTTTAGGTTCTACCATTCAAAATGGTCAGATGGATTCTGCAACCAAGCCACTGTGAAGTCCCTGCTAACGTAATCAATTCATCTGTGTAAGTCTGCAACTCATATGCAGCTGCTATGCCCTGCTTCACAAACACAAGCCGCATGGTGGACCAAATCCACTACAAGAACAATCCAGAACAATCGGTTCTCCGAACCTCATTGGGGGGTCTGAGTGGTTCTTAGTACCCCCTGGGTTACCCCCTGGTTCTTGACTACGCCCCTATTGTGGAGCCTGAATATTAATATATACCTAGAATCTGAGTGACCTCTGTTTTGGAGTGTCAGCTATCCAACATATGGCCTTTTCATATCAAGGAGGTCACTCATCTGGGCTCTAGGTATATAATACATGGCAGCTTTGCGCTCATGGGTTTCAATCCGAGGTGGAGAAAACAACATTGTTGTCTTGAAGTTTCTCATGCTTGCTGCCAGTCAGTGATGTCCGTACTTGGGAAGAATGGAGGGGTCGGTACCAATTTACCATCTACCAATTGGTTGCACACTGAGGGGATATCCATGGATATCCCGTTATCCCGTTATCCCCTCTATCAATCCGATCAGTCAAATGCCATCGTTCTCAGCTTCTGCGGCTCCTGCGCGAAGGTGGCTCGCTGGCCGCGGCTTCAAAGGCGCAGTCTCGCTGCAGCCACCCTGACGGCGCCCAAGGGCGGCCGGGAGGAGGGCACAGAAGGGTTCGAGTCGAATGGGTGTCCAGAAAAAAGTCTGACTTGAGGTTCAATGTGCGTTTGCGTGCTGGACCTAATGTTGTCTCTTGATGATAAAGCCATCCTCTATGTAGATTCAGAACCAGGATTGTGAAACATGGTGAAGCATGTCCATGTAAGTTTCTTCAACAGTAAACGTGAGATGCCATGGTTTGAAGAAAATGTCCACTTACATGTAGTCTTGTCTAGTTCTAAGTGGCTCTTTTCCTATCTGGAAGTGGCTCTCAAACTCTCATGTGGCTCAAGGTCGCAGCTTGGTGTTGGTTGTGCATGAACCATGGATGATATAGCCAAAAATTGGTCATACGATGTCACAAGGAAATGTGTGAGCATACAAGACGGTAATGACCCACATTCTGTTTAACTTTAAGTCTTCTTAGAACCTCCAGCCATGAGCTCCCGTGCCTCCAGTTCCAATGATTCAAGTTCAGATGATGAGTTGGCGGAGGACACGGGCACCAAAATTTTTCTGCCCTCTTGAACCCACCACAACCCGTCAGGACCACACTATCCCAGAGGTGTCCAGAAGGTACCTGGAAGAAGCAGGGCCTGTGTTTCTGCGCTCATCTGGAATCTCGGCGGTATCAAGCCCATGGAGGAAAAAGGAGTTGCAAGGACATGAAGACTAGCGGCTTGTGAACATGTAAGAATAGCTGTAAGGGGGATGTGCTGCAAAGAACAATTCTAAGGATTGGGCCAATGGTTCCATGCTTGGGGGGACAAGCCCTTCACTTTCTGTTCGGACTGCATCTAGGCTGCAACAGTGCAGTGCCATAACACAACAATGCCAACACCTTGGTTCTGACCTGAACATCGAAGCCCTATAGTTGAGGTAGCGGCGCGGATACGCCATTCATGGCCTTGCAACTGGTGTTTGATGCTGCGCAGAAGGGACATTGTTTGGTCCACTTGCAGCTCGGATTGGTTGATTCTCACTGCTGTGCAATGCTTCATGTTCAGCATGTACAGCATTTGAGGCACCAACTCATATCGAAAAAGAAACTGTTCTGCAGTGAAGTCAGCTACCAACTAAGGTCAGCATCGGAAATACATCCACAAAAACGGCAGTTTCTGAGAGACAACTTCCAGATCAAGCAGTTCCCCGGCTAGTTTCAAAGGTTCACTTGAAAGTCACATGGGTTCCATACAACTTAGAGTTGCTGTTGTTCCAGAACATGAACAGGCTAACCAAGTCGGTGATGAAGCAGGACAATGAACCACTACGTGACAAGGCTGGCTTGGCTGGGTTTGCAGCTCTGTGTGTGTGTGGCTTGAAAAGTCTTGATGGTGGGATTGTTTGTTTTGTTTGTCATTTGTTTGATTATGTTTGGTTGATCTCGAAATAACTTGATTGCTCCCGGAGGTGACATTGTATGTCGCGGGCTTTCCTTGCACGCCCTATTCTTCATTGGGGCAGTTGGCACGTCTTTCTGACCCAAATGCTCGCCAACTATTTGCTTGCGTTAAGCGGATGAAAGTTTGTCGCCCAAAAGCTCCTCTGCCAAGCTTTTGAGCAAGGATGGACATTCACAGTGAACTTTGTAATTCGCACTGTAGTTATTCCCAGGGGTTGCCGCTGGCCAAGGTGGCTGTGCTGGAGAACGTGATGGGATTTCGCGCTGTTGCAGATCAGGTTTGGGACTTTTTGGATAAGAACTGCCCAGGGTACTTTAGCCTCTAATTGAGCGATGTGTCAGGTGACCAGTCTCTGTGCAACTTAATGCAGGGCTGATAGCAATGAGTTAATAACAATACCAAGTTAGCATCAATCTGAGGTATCGAAAGATGTATGTGGTGATCAATCCGTGTCTCCAATGAAAAAACTTTTGCAACACTACACCCTGAATCTGTGTGTGTTGTGTTGTGATGTTAGGGTGTGTTCCACATGCGGGGCATCCTAGGAGAAAGTATGGCGCGCCTATCAGCCGCCAAAGGATTTATCTCATGATGATTCAAGAGGCTGTTCTCACTGATGAGGCAAAGCAGCTAGACACACAGGGCTTTAATGACTACTGTCAGAAGAAGTTGGGTGAAATGAAAATCGCTTCCAAACCCGGCTGGTTTCTTAGCTCAAAGAACTGGGACTAAAACCAAATGAATACTTGTCCAGGTCGAAATTGTTTGTGTGCTATTTTTGGGTTCCCTTTCCATGATGGCCATATTACAAAACACCAAGGAATGACTTATTGCTTCCTGAAAACCACCCAGCTGTTCAAAAGGATATGTCCAGACGCAAGCGCTTGCGGTCAGCACTTGCTTCCAAGTCTCTTGGCTCTCTAGAGGTTTAGCAGGTAGTTTGCATACGCGCTGCAATTCAGCAGTTGCTCGCCTAGTAAGTTGGACAAACTGAAAATAGATTCTTGGAATCCTGCGTCCCATATCCCCAAGGTCAGTTTGCCCAACTGCAAAGTGGATCCAAAGACATCGTGATTGGGCAAAGGAAAAGAAGGTCAGAGTGTTGTTTATGATGATTTCTGAGATTCTTGGTTTTGACTGGAAGTGGTTGCCACAGGGTGTTTCCTCCTTCTGTTGCAGGTGTCTGTCAAAACGGTGAACAAGCAAAAGCTCTTTGCCAAGAAGTACGGGGCGGCGGCAAAGCAAGTGACTAGCTTTCGGGAGATGGAGGCTGGATTGGGATCTGCCAAACTCCCGAAGTGTTTTGACTCATTTGTCCTTTCCATACAAAACTGTTTTGTTGTCTCAACAACATGTTGGATTTGTAGGTCATACAATTCCCATGGTAGGCTTGCAACCTTCTCGCTGGCCACCACAAGAACATCAGCGTAGTCAATACCAGCCAGAATTTGGGCCACATGCCGATAATAGAAAACGATCATGATGACTTGATGTGCCTCACGCCAGCTGGCAAGCAATTCAGCTTTGTAAGTGTGGCTGTGCATTTCAGATCTTGTGTCATGGGATTGTTCATTGCTTCTGTGTTGTTTATGAACACATTCGATCCACAGGGCTAAAGAGCTTAGGCCAGCGGGAAAATTTCTGGCCACGAGCAGAGGAAGATACATTATCGGCAGAGAAGTGATGATGTTGATGGGCCTGCCGATACACAGGCTAAAGTTGTCGGCTTGCAGCGAGTCAGTTCCTTGTCTTTTGTCTTATTGATTTTGCCGTATGAGACAGTTGGAGATTCTAAAGAATCATTCACCCTAGCTCGAGTGGTCAAGGTTTTGCATAGCCTTGGCGGAAACGCAATGGCTTTGAGGGCAGTCCTGCCCGTTATCCTTGTAGCCCTTGGAGCTTGTGTGCCCCAAAGGCTTTGGGCCAGCTGATCTAGCGAAGGTGGTTTCAAGCGGATCTACAAATTCATAATTCGGACGGATCGAACGCAATGAAGCTATGTTAGTTTTCTCGAAAAGTAAGCGCTGCCAACCTTTGTGGTATATCAATTTTCGTGCTGCGTCAGTAGTGTAAAAGCAGTAATGCCTTGAACACCCCGATTCTCATGAGGTGTCATATTGCCATTTTATGATTTTCAGGAAAACTTAGCCGTGGGCAAGGTTTCAACTGGCCATCGTTCCTGACCCATGCCCCTTTGCCGTTGGAACGCTGATGCTGACTCTGATGAGAGCCAGCTGCATAGATATGAGCCTACAAGTTCTAGCTCTTCCGATGGTGCAGAACAGTTTCTTGCCTGTAAAATATTCAGGATGCTTCGCTGATTGCCATATATGGCCCTGACCTATCTCCACTTCAAACTCGCACCCACTGGAACTTAGGATGTCAACATCTGATTCCGATGAAACTCTCAGCATTTCAGATACGGATAGTGACCCTGAGAGTGAACCCAATGATGCTCCTGCCCACATTGATTTGACACTTGAAAGGTTGCAATCACTGCAAGCGATGGGGACGGTATCTAAGAAGGATTTGACTGAGTATGCCAAGAAAGGACTTTCTGCAACAAGAATTAAACTGGCTGTGTTGAATCCTCGGTGCAGTTGCATGTGCCGCATGCCCATCAAGCTTCTGTTCCACATATGCGTCGCCTTTTGGCAACTCACAAAACGATCTCAAGATGCGCTTCTATGGAGTATCCAACATGAATCTGGTACCCAAAAGAAAAAGCAATGGCATATTGCAGGACAGCTAACATGACACGTCATGCAGGCAAGCTTTATGTAAACATAATTTGTGTGTTTGCGGCGCTTTGCAAAGCTCCCAAACATCTCGGCGAGCAGGATACCCTATGTGCAAAGAAACATGGGCACACCTCCTTGGCGTCGGCAAACACCGGCTTGGTCGTTGCCGTCATAGTTTTCAGGGTCGGGATGCAAGGTCAATCAGTGGACCAGGTGGAACCTTGATCAACAAATTGATCATTTGATGGGTTCAACACTATATCAAGTTGTCTTGAAAAGGTAGTATGCGGGGTTGAGATGTCTTCCCAAGAACGTGAGCCCGGCCCCACTCCCTGCGGCATGCTCTCAGGACCAGCAGCGCCACCTGCAGTGAAATCAGCAAGTGTGACGAACTTTATGGTGCACCTTTACTGGGCAATTGCAGAACCGATGTCCACTCAGTATCTTGGCATATCTTGGCATTGTCACGTTCACGACATATCAGGCCTGATATGATCTACCTGTTACAAGTACTCAGTCTGGGCAGTTTTAGTTCAATTTCAACTGAAGGATCATGGCAAAGTGTAACATCAACAAAGATGATACGGACCTTCGTGAAGAACTTTTACAGCAGCTCATCGACTGCAAATTGTTAGGACCGACCTGCCAGGTTGGGTGTCACTCTGACCCAACCAGGCTGAGTGTACGAGAACTGCCACATGGATGTTGGTCAAACGTCTACCTGCTTTATCAGGCCCATTGCAGAGCACAAAGCCAGGACCCCGCCTCAAAGTCAACCTTCTTCGCGGTGGCCAAACAGTGGCAGTGCGCCTTGCGCTTCCATAAAAAAACACAGCACCAGATCTGCGCAACTTGCAGTAGGCTCAAAAGCCTCATCCGGAATTCAAAAGAGACTTTGTTGCAAATTGCCATTGAATCATGGACCCTTTGCACTGTGAATCCGCTTCTATGACCCTGATGGTCCTAACACACCACACCAGTTGAAAGAACATGGAAAAACATCTAGCTAAACATTCTAGTTCCAAGGACATGGCAGAGCATTGCCAACTGAGCGACCGCCTGCTCAGTCACTACTTCATCACATTCAAAGACCGCCAGGTCTACTATCTTGCACGCGAGAGGTCAAAGACTCATGGTGACCTTCTGACCATGATTGTCGACTCATACGACAAAGCAAAGGTGACACTTCCAAGGTGGCCTTTTGGGAGAACTCCCAAAAAGACTATCTACGAGTCCGTCCGACGTGCTTTGCTTGTCAACTGGAAACGGGAATGTCACAAACACCCGCTCTTGACGCTTCATTCATGCCAACATACGCCACCCAATACGCCCATAAGGTACATCAATGACGCTTACAGGATGCATCGTTCATGGCTTTGGCGTATTCCTGTACCTGATCGATGAAGGAATGGGGACCGGAGCAAATTGGACAATTGAAGTTGTATCTTTGCAGCAACTCCCTCCCACTCGACACAACCACAACCACATCCTTTGCCTCCGCATCCATGACGCTTCCAAGGCAATGAGGTCCATCGATCGAGCCTATGCCATCGCGCAAGGCAAGAACAGACCTTTCCCTTGGGAGTGCCTTGTCACCAAAAGTCTGGGATACTAGGTAAATCTAGGTTGCTTTCAACATGCCTATAAAACCTCAGGGCGATGTCAAGAAAATCCCAAGATTCCCAAGACTGACTCATGCACACAGACCCTCAACGGCCTTCACGCAAGGTGCTGGATCCAGGGAGACAACGCCGTCAAGGAGTTGCGTAACTCCTACACTGGCAGGTGGGCCACATTGATGTGCCAGGGAGGATGGTTCTCTGCTGTGTCCCACCACCATTTGGTGGTGGGACACACACATGAGGACATAGGTGGGACATTGACAAAAAAAAACTACACTTGAACAAACATAACATTGTTCTCATTGACTTTTGTTTTGCTGTCCCTGAAACCCTATGTGTATTGTAACAGACTCCACCTGCTGCCCCTGAGATGGAGTCTTCTCTATCGTCACGGCGGCATTGAATTCCCAGAGCAATCTGCAAACCCCAAGGGATGTTCAAAGGCCTGGGGTGGTTCATTGATGCTGAACCCTGAAGCCAATGGTTGTGCAACCCCAATGATTCCCACTGCGTGGCAGGACACTCATCGACCGGATGCGACCATTGTTTGCCAAATCAGGTATGGTGTTCGATTGCGAGATTGTGCCAACTGTTTCTTAGCACCATAAATATGTGTGCAGGTTTGCGCGGTAACATGAACACACTCGGAAATACAACCCTTTGTACCCTCGCTATGTGTTAGCTAAGATCCGCAATTGGTGTCAGTTGATGCCAGCTGGAGCTTCCCTGAAGAATTGCTACCGAGCACGGAAAGGGGACTGTGAGGGAGAAGAAACCTTTGCAGTACCACAAAGCTTCACTTTTATGGCCAGGGAAGGCTAGGGCGGGTATACTTAAACAACTGATTTCAAAGTACTCGAATGTTCTATATTTTTCAATGTGTCGGCTCTGTTTACAACTGTTTTTTCCGTGAGGCATGCCTGGTGCAGGGCATGGCTTGGAGTTGGAAGAGAAAGTCCCACGGCGTTTGAGGTCAGAGGGCCGTTCTCGGGATATCTTCTGCATGGTCAAGCAATCCATGTCAGATGATCACCTCATCCAGCCTCCAATACTGGTGTACCCTGAAGCCTTGTTGCCGGCAACTTCCAATTTCTTTAACAACATCAACAACATCGATGCATCAGGCTTTTTGCTGAGCGCTTGCTTAGATGAAGGACGTTGCCAGGAGCTCTTGGACTTGGCCGAGAACATTGAGAAAGATTTCCCACACCTTCAGCGAGGTGTGGCATACCTGAGGTCTTTGACCAACCAAGATCGACAACATCAGCTTTGTCCGCGGCTGAAATTTATTGATGCAGGGCCTTCAGCATCTCACGGTTTGGGTGATTTGCGGCTGGGGCCACGCCCCTGCCCACCCAAACCCCATAAGCTTCAAGTGGTGTTTCATCATCGCCAAGCAGCGTGATGATGTGTGTGTTTTGGGGTCATGGGGACATGTGCGACAAGGGGATCCCCTTGCAAAAAAAAACGCTGCGGCCCACCTGCATTTACTCTTTATATAATGTTGAACAGTGTTCAATGCCTGTTTGATTGGATTCTTTAGGTTTTGTAGGCTCAAACCTGGGGAGTTTGAGTTTGGTATTTTCACAATGGTGGTGGAGCTTTGTGAAGACAAAGCCAGCGATGAAGTCTTGCAGAAGATTGCAGCCTGGGTTGATTCTGCCCGGGGCCCATCTCACAGGTGTATTTGATTCACATCAGTGCCATTCTCGTGGGTCCAACTCATATTTGCAAAACTCAGGTCTTACAAGCTGGGACAAACTTTGGAGAGCATGTGAACCAGACTGACCGTTCCACCATCAACCAGGCTCACCCGGGCTCACCCTTCAGTTCACTCGACTTCCTGACTAGTGGGTTCCGTGTTTCACCGTTTCCTTCACACATCTTCACACCAATCCTGGGCCCTGGCATTTGCTTTGCCGGCAGGCTTTGGAGACGTTGGTGGTGAATGCTCACACGCATGACTCGCGGCCATCCTTGCACAGCATTCCAAATTTTTCACTTCAGGAATTTTGGCTTCCTTTGACTGCCTTCGATTTGAGCGCCGCTTCAAAGCACGGATGCCGGGGTTTAATAAATTGGGAGTTTGTATTATGTTGACCGTGTTAACCCCTGTTTGGTTTACGCCTTTTAGGTCACAATGGTTAAACCATGTTGGTGTCTTCATTTTGGCGTTTGTGATTGCGCCGCCCTGCCAGACTTCCCGCAGAATACACAGATCGAAGCCCATTACCGTGAATTTCTGAAGAATGGATACAAGATTTCTGCAGAATCTGTTGAATGCAAATTCCCAACTGGGGATGGCAGCAGGACCATCTTTCCAGGATCCGTGGGCATATCAGATGGCTTTTGCAAAGTGCTCATAATGGTCGGCATTTCTCTTGCCTGCCACCAGTTAGAAACCTGGTTGAATATGAAAAACCATACTATCGTTTCAGTGGGGGTTCGCTTGTTGTTTCAAACGGGGGTTCATGTGTGTGTGCCCGCGTTGCGCTAATGTGCTTTTCGCTGAGGAGCTTTCGCATGAGCAGCTATCTTTGCCAGGGGTGCAGAAGGTCTTAAGATCTTTCCGGTGGGTTAGGTGTTCGTACACCCACTTCGACAATCCTGCCCACCATTACTTGAACTCCCTCCGACGCTTGATTCATGTCAGCCGTCAAGTGTGATTGTTGGGAAGTCAAAATAACAATGTCCCAACTACATAATATAGCAACCCCCCAGTCGCCACACTCCCAAGGTGTTCAACACGTGACTTCGGAGAAGCAATCGCCTTCACCGATAGACTTCTTGGGATCGTTGAAGGAGGCGGTTGCGATTGAACAGCGCCTGTCCAAAGCAGGCACTTCCAAGGCACTCCGTGATGTGCTCACGCGCTGCTGTGGGGAGTACAACCGGATGGTGACAAAGCGGTCTCATCGTGTGGACACGGCGACCAAAAGTCTGATCCTGAACCTGTTTCTTGGGACCCAAAAGACATCATACTGTCGGATTTGTTGACATTCTATTGTTGGAACTTGACAGAATGCGGGTCCGATGTGAGGCTGAGAACAAATGATGAGATACAGCAGCAAATTCACCACCACTACGACGTGTATCCCCACTTTGCCTCAGGTTGGTTTTGGGTCCAATTTTGCTAACAGTTCAAGATGTTTCTAGTTCAGCGTTTGGGAACGGCACCGGGGATCATGTAAGTTCCACTCTGTCATTGACCCTGCCAGCTTTGCCCATCGACGTGCTCCAATGTGAGTGGTGGGTACCGGGATCTTCGACAAGGGCAGAGTCTGCGAAATATGCAGGGAAAAGCCAGTACAGAGAGATTTTGACCATCACTTTGGACACCTGCAGCCTTTGGATCACACGGGCTACAGAGGACCAGTGTTCCCCTCTTGGGCCCGCTTTCCCAACCCCATGTTTTCACGTCCCGTTGCCATGTCTGCAGCCGCAGGATTTCAAGCGCCGTGTGGAGGCAACCGCTTCCACCAAAGCAAAGGACAGTGATTCATTCACAAAGGGTTATTTTTTCTTGAATTCCCTGTGGTTGTTCAATCTACCACCCATCCATTTCAGATTCACAATTAGTCTTACTTTAGCATCCTCTCCGCCCTGCCTCAGAAGAACGCGCAACTTGACGAAGAAGGCCACCACCTTCTTCATGACGTGTGCTGCCTTTGGCTGTGGTTGCTCCCGAAGTTGCGGAGCACGTTTCCGGAGCCGGTGGTTCAGAAGCATCAAGAGATGTTTCTACGAGGGAGCCTCTTCTACGGCTTAGGGCGGGTGGTTTGGGGAAAGGAAACGCCTTAAAGGCGTCACCAGTTTTGGGACGGACTTGGCTGGCGCCAACTCGGACAGGCATATTTTCGAGGGATTTCCAGAAATCCCGTCACAATTTGAGTATAGGACTTGGTCAGAGCCAACTCAGACCATGGAAAAAGGAATCACACCTGGAAGTATGAGCCCAACACCCAGATTGTGACTGGAATCTCGAGAATCACGTCACAATTCTATAGTCCACGGAGAAACCAATCATCTCGCAGAGTTTGTGGCCAAAAAAAAAGTTTGATTGATTATTTCCCCAAGATGATAATCATCAAGGGATTCTCGAGAATCCCGTCACATTTGAGAGGAAAGGTCAAGGTCTCAGAGTGTGATTTGTTTTTGAGGTATATTTGACTGTATATATATTTATTTGATATATTCATATGAGCAGCGGACAAAATTACTTGTGTAGCCAAATACCATTTGACATGATTATCGTTTTTGGTGGGGTCCATATCGTTCTTCAATGTTCTCCAAACCGTAGTTAGCATAGCATACCGGCACATAGACAAAAACACAAAATATAATTCACAACCTCAGATTAAAGGCTTACAGTGCTTTCTGCACAGGAATGGCACAGCACTTGAATTATGCACTTGGGTTCTTGTGGCACTGGGCTCTGCAAGGATCACAACACATAAGCGGTGACCTAGTAGCTCGGCCCAGGAACAAACACTGGTAATGTGGAGAAGTAGGTCTACGGAGTGCCTGGCGTGACATTTAGGTTATCGTTCGCTTATCGTTTGGATTATCGTTTGGGAAGTTGTCGGGGATTATCATTGATGAAAAGTTGCACCCATCGGTTTAGCTCAAATATGCTCAATAAACATTCAAATGCAATAACATATTTTAACCACAAACGTCTTTGTATCCACTACATCTTAACAATATTATCGTTTTTGGTGGGGACCATATTGTTTTCCACAGAAACAAAACCCTCAACATAGGTTTAGGGTCATGCCGTGCCTAAATAAGTCAATCAATAATTTTGTCCGTCGCTCATATAGGAATGATGGGATTGAATGCTCAATCTGATGAACCTTG